ACCACAGAGAGAATATCCGTGCCCATAAGACAGACAATTGTAACAAAGTTTTGCCTTGGTCACGGCATTTCCTCTTTCTTCTGCAGATAATTTATGAAATGGTTCACACTGGTAAATGGTATGAGAATCTGAACAAATGGGACATGTGCGCTTGTTTGTAAAGAAAGAATGGGTTCGGGTGTTGGGATTATGTTGTTTCCTGAACTTGTCTACTTCAATTTTTGGAGAACTGGTTTCCTTTGTTGATGAAAACGTCGAGCATTTGGATCTTTTTTCTAAGAATTTCAATAAGGTTTTATAGCTGGGTACTTCATTATTGTCTAAAGTCATTTCCCAATGCCATGCTGTTGCTGGATTAATTTTAGATAAAATTAAATCTGTGACTGGAATATCCCACGTTGCAACGGGAGCCTTTAGATTTTCTAATGATCTCATATGTTGATTAAATATGTCAACCAGATTACCCAAAGCTACCGGTGTATCCTTTTGTAATCGAGGATATTCACGAAGAATTGCCCAATGTCGCATCATGTTCTGACGGGTGCAATCGTACTTTTCCTTTAAGATTGACAATGCAGTTTGGTAATTGTCGTTGGTAGTCTGTAATGACTCAATTGCAGCATATGCCTTACCTTTCACAGACATGCGTAAATATTGCAGTTTACGAGCGGGTTCCAAATCGGTTTTATCGATTAATGATTGGAACAAATCGAAATATGAATTCCAATTCTCAGGATTACCATCAAATGAAGGTAGATTAATTTGAGGTAAATTGGCAACTAGGGGTGGTTGGCGATTTAACGGTGGTACAATTTGAATTTCACTGGAACTTGACGTTGACGGTGTCGGAGAGCGTGATTCACGAAGATATTTTCGGGCTCTTCCAAGAGCGGTGTTGTATTTTATAATAATCGGTTCCCGGTGGCTGATTTCTGTCTCATCGATATCTTCTAATTGCTCTTGAATTTCTTCAAATTTCTTGTAGGCCTTTTCCATTGATTCCAGGGTGGCTTGTAAATAATCAGCATCACGATGGTTAGGGTTGGAATCCCATTCGTCGAGTGTTTTTGATAAAATCGTAATAGTGCTGAGCACATATCCTCGTCTGCGGTGTAGTCTTTGTAATTCGTCGGTCATTTTGAGTGGCGATTAGGTTAAGTAGAAAGGATAACAAAAGGAATGGTGATTTGTAACAAATTAACGAACCTACCTTGACTGGTTGATGACGGTTCCGACGGTGAATTTCGCAGCGGTGACTCTCACGGTGATGACCTCTCGGTGATGACTCTTTCAGCGATGATTTTCGCAAAGATTGTAGTGAAACGATGTAATGATAATCCAGTACTGATGTTAGGAGCACTTCCACGTGCACTAATTAACTGAACTGTTTACACTTTTATATGTCACTAATTTATTAAGATNTATTCCCTAATTTAAAAATGTTTTTATTTCTTCATAAAGTAATTTCTCCTTTATTAAACGAAGTGAAAGTAGGTGTTTCATACGATTCGGAGAATCAGGATCGGCGGCTAGAATATCGCATGAAACGTCCTAGCAATCCTAATTAAAGGGTTGTAGGTTTTTGTTGGGGATTGAAAACACTGTTAATGTAGTAAAGTCTATTTACAATATATACAATGCCTTCAATCGGCGTACACTATGTGAAACAAGAACGGTGAATAAACGGTGAAATGAAACGGTGAATGAACGGTGAATAAAACGGTGAAATGAATCGTAACGTGCCACTTGGCAGCAACCTTCGTACTCTCCTTCTTGCTACTGATGGCACGCTACTTAAGGGTGAAAAGGTGGTGAGATAGAGAAAGACAGCACAAGTATTAGTAACCGGCAAGAGAAGGATAGGCGAATAGTGGTCGAAAGTACAGAAAAGTCATAAATAAAGGAGAAAACAAGGACAGATAGATAAGATGTAGAGAGAGACGATGAAATAGAAAGCGAGGTACTTGACAATTTACAACAGTAGGTGACTGCGCTGACGAAGAATACTTTGCAGTACAGTGGATTGCCTATAAGAAGGACCAGCAATCGTTTATTTTAAATCTTTTGAAAACTGTAACAGAAACTATAGGTATATTTTGACTACGTCGAGATGAACAGTGAACAAATTAATAACACTACATCACCACTTTGTTTTATTGTTTTACTTGTTTGTATTTGCGCTTTAATTTTGTGTTTTTCAATTTAATTAACACAAGTTAATTTAGTTTTGTTGCCCATTTCAGTTGATCGATCAATCCAGCTGAAATAAATTGATCTTCCTTTGGTGTAACTTCTTCATCTTGCAACATTATGCAGTTGGTTTTCCACCAATGAGCGAAAAAACTACAAAGTTTTCTTGGATTCCACCAAGGTAATAATTTGTCTGCAATAGTATCGTGCCCGGATTTGGATTGTCCGTCATACTTGTAGACATTAGAACGCTACTTTCTGGAGTTAATTTAGGTGAGAATACATGACATAATTAATATTAATTGCCAGTTATTTATCTGTTACCATCCTATCTTATACACTTTTTCTCGAATATACTGTAGCGTTACTTCCTTTCAGACAGGATACAGTGGGTTATCTGGAATAGGAGCAATAGGCGACTGCCGAGCTTGCCTTGGCGAAATCTGTCCGACCTTCTCTTCGAAATCCATTAGACTTTGTCGTTCTGCTAATTTCTCCATTCGCTTCAAGATACTCTAGGAAGACTGAAGACGTATTTTATTACTTTTTATTGTATTTTCTTTTAAATTTCATTTGTTTTCTTGTTCTTCCCTTACAGGTACTTTGTACCTTAATTTATAAACTGTACATTAATATAACAGTACTTAGACTGTTAGTTAAAACCCTTCTACATTTATATTTTGGCATCATTGTTAAAACCAAATTAAATATTTATTAACGCTTTCATAGTTATTATTCATTTTGGTGGATAAGGTGGCCATAGGGGGAGATAATGACCACATTTATATCCCAAATATAATAAATATTGATGAGTGTAAATAATATGCTGAATTTTTTGTATTTTCTTGTCTTTCTCTTTCAACTGTTTTGTATTTCACTTTATTATTTCTACGATTATTATTAACAAACAGTAGAGTATTTCTTCACTTTAGTATATTGTCCTACATGTAATTTTGAATTAACTCAATTGTAATTTAGTGTGATAGGTACAACCCTTCTAAATTGCTTTTTACTGTATTTTCTTTGAAATTCAAATTGTCTTCTTTTTCTTACAGGTATTTTGTTTTTCACTTTGTAAACTGTTGAATTAACTCAATTGTAATTAGGTGTAATAGATAAAACCTTTCTAAATTGCTTTTTGACGTAATTTTTAAAAAGAAGTTACATATTTATTATCACTTTCATAACTAGTATTTATTTGGGCGGATAGGGTGGCTATAAAGGGAGATGTGGAGGCCACAGAAGATTAAGGAGGCATTTTTGTCCCAAATTTACTGTCTAAATGTTAATTCAAAAATTTCCAATTGTTAATAATTATAAATCATTTAAAATGTTCAGAAATTGTTAATGTACTTTATTCATTTATTGAAAATGTAGTTTGTGTTTATCAATAAAATTAGTACTTAGTTACCTATTGATGTATAAAAAAAGTTTGTACTTAACTGCCTATTGATGTGCATTGCTTTTATTGTAAATACTATTAATTGGCGACAAAGAGTTTATCCTTAAATAAATTCTATTTCATGTAAAGTGCAAGTGATATGTAATTGAAATACGAAATAAATTTTATTAATATAAACAGCGTTT